CAAAAAGAGAAAAGTGAAAAATATCGGCGTTTTTCAAAAAACTCTACACGTTTTAAGAACTCGTTTTAATGAAAGCATAACGTATTGAGACCTCCTTTCGTTTGCTTTGGAGTAGGCAAAAGAAGATAATTGTCCGAAAAAATTTGCTATCAGAAGCTGGCCATTTTGTAAGCATTTTTGACAAATTGAGTAGGAGTAGGAATTAAGAAGAAGAAGCAGCTAATTGACCAAAGCATTCCAAAATCGAAGGGTGCTCATTTTGGTAACTCTATAGACTTGGTTTTTTGACGAAAAGGACATCGGAAAAAGGGCCTTGCTTTTTTAAAACAACTCCCTTTGGTGACAGAAAGTCTGATTGAGACCTTTTATACTTATCTTTACAGCAAAAAAAGCTTACTTACAAAATTCTTTCTAGTCTAAAGATCGAAGTTTCTGTTAGCCTAAAGTCTCGGTTTCTTTATGTAAAGGACAAAGTAAAAAGATCCAACTTATTTGTAAAATACCTCTCTTTGGTGAATAAGGCATTGAGCTTAACCTCTTTAAAGTATCTTTCTCACAGGTAAAAGTTAATTATCTTTAGAGAAGATCTTTGCAGTTGAAATATCTTCATTTTTGAAGGCCCATAGCCTTGGTTTTCTACCGAAAAGGAACATAGTAAAATAAATCTGATTTTCTTTCAAACAAATAACTTTTGTAACAGCAAACTATAGGCCTGTAGTCAACATCTGAGTAAAAAATATGGTGTTTTCCTTGATATTAAATCATAGAAATAACCCTAAATATGATTTAAATGTGTTTTGAAGCCGATCTCCATGGTTCACACATGTTTCAAAGGTAAACTTTGCAATAATTTTTAACAATTTTTCTATCCCTATAGCATTGCTTTTTGTCAATTTTTGGACAAAAAAGTCTAGTATTTTCTTAAAAAAAAGTCATAGAAATAACTACAGACATGTTTTAAATGTGTTTTGATGCCGTTTCTTGGCTGAAGGGCTGAAGGGAGGCTAAAAAACTTCCATTAATTTTTCGCAACTTCTCTAGCCCAATAGCCTCGCTTTTTCTCAATTTTTGTGAAACAAAAACTATGGCAATTTCATGAACTAAAATAGCAGTAAAAGAAAGAAACACAATTTAAAAATGTTTGGAGGTTGTTTTATATGGCTTCCATACTTTTTGAAGCCAAAAAGTTTCCATCCATTTTTGAAAATTTTCTTAAGACTATAGCCTTGCCTTTCATCAATTTTTCGGTAACAGAAAATTGGGCATTTCCATTGAACAAAATCATTGAAATACTCTAAATTATCATTTAAATTGGCTTTAAAGCTGTTTTTTATGTGTCGCAACTGATCAGAAGCTAGAAAATTTCCATCAATTTTTGACAATTTTTCTAAGCCTATAGCCTTGCTTTTTAACAATTTTTCGGTAACAAAAAATAAGGTATTTCTTTTGAATAAAAACATGGAAATACTCTAAATTATGATTTAAATTGGTTTAAAAGCTGTTTTTTATGTGTCGCAACTAATCAGAAGCTAGAAAATTTCCATCAATTTTTGACAATTTTTCTAAGCCTATAGCCTTGCTTTTTGACAATTTTTCGGTAACAAAAAATATGGCATTTCCTTGGACTAAAATCATAGAAATAATCTAACTTATGATTTTAATTGGTTTAAAAGCTGTTCTTTATGTGTTGCAACTGATCAGAAGGTAGAAAATTTCCATCAATT